GATGCCAGGGAACTGAGGCCTACAAGGGACAAGGGTTAGGTCCTTTTGACAAACACATGAGAGTAAGAATAGGGTTGGAAGAAACGACCTTAACCTTATAGGCAGGTAAAAGCCCTGTACCCTGCATCAGGCCCCAGAGCCAGGTGCTGCTTTCCTTGATCACAGATGCTCAAAAAATCCTGGAGAAGCCACAAAGAGGTTTGCCATCTATCATGGCAACGTTAAGAGGTGGGCAAACTGCTCTCAAAACATTAAAAGCGCAAGTCAGAAGAGCACATAAATGTAAGATCCATAATCAAACTACCTACATGCAAAAGGAAATGAAAACTCAAGATATTAACCTAAAACTTAGTTTAGAAACACTGAAACCCCAAGAAACAAATAGAAACAAGACTGAATAGCCTTGGGAGAAGCTTTCACAGCTCCAAATCCACAGCCTACTGCCAGTACACACCCGTAACTCTTCCCCCCAACTCTTAAGTAGACAAATTCATCATTTTATAAACTACAGACTTCACGTAAAAAGAAAGTATCAACAACTCAAAATAATAAGCAAATATGGCCGGGCGCAGTGGCTCATGTCTGTAATTCCAGCACTTTGGGAGGCCGAGGTGGGTGGATCACTAGGTCAGGAGTTGGAGACCAGCCTGACCAACATAGAGAAACCCCGTCTCTACTAAAAATACAAAAATTAGCCGGGTGTGATGGTGCACACCTGTAACCCCAGTTACTCAGGAGGCTGAGGCAGGAGAATCGCTTAAACCTGGGAGGCAGAGGTTGCAGGGGGCTGAGATCGTGCCACTACACTCCAGCCTGGGCAACAGAGCAAGACTCAAGAAAAGAAAAAAAAGAAAAGAGAAGAGAAGAGAAGAGAAGAGAGAAGGAAGGAAGGAAAGAAAGAAAAAAATGTAAAATGATTCTTAATTACTTCTTTACTATTTCTTTCATGTGTATGAATCAAAAGTGAAAGCAGCATTTTCCAAAACAGCAATACTAAGTTATTACTTTTTTCATTTTATTTTTCTGCTCCATAGGTTTCTGTAAGTTATGACTTCTATGAATTCTTGATTTACCTTTACTTTTACTGAGGAGACCCTGTTAAGTCAACCATGCATGTTAATTGATTTGTTTTTCTTTTGAGACGGAGTTTTCGCTCTTGTTGCCCATGTTGGAATGCAATGGCGTGATCTCGACTCACAGAAACCTCTGCCTCCCCAGTTCAAGCAATCCTCCCGTCTCAACCTCCTGAATAGCTAGGATTACAGGCACGTACCACCACGCCTGGGTATTTTTGTATTTTTAGTAGAAACAGGGTTTCTCCATGTTAGCCAGGCTGGTCTCAAACTCCCGACCTCAGGTGATCTGCCGGCCTCAGCCTGCCAAAGTGCTAGGATTTCAGGTGTGAACAACCGTGCCCAGCCCAATTGAGTTGTTTTTCTAAGCAGTGGTAATTCACATTCTCATCCCTTCTGTTATGACCAAGCACATACAAAAAAATACCAGGATAAGACAGATTGCCAGGCCTGGTGCAGTCGCTCACACCTGTAATCCCAGCACTTTGGGAGGCCGAGGTTGGTGGATCACCTGACGTCAGGAGTTGGACACCAGCCTGGTCAACATGGCGAAACCCCATCTCTACTAAAAATACAAAAAATTAGCCAGTCGTGGTGGTGGGTGCCTGTAATCGCAGTTACTCGGGCTGAGGCAGGAGAATTGCTTGAACTTGGGAGGGGGAGGTTGTTGCAGTGTGCCGAGATCATGCCACTGTCCTCCAGCGTGGGCAACAAGAGTGAAACTCCATTGCAAACAAAACAAAAACAAAAAACAAAACAAAAAAAAAAACAGACAAATTGCCTATGTAACCTATACTGGTCCTCAGAGGATTTTTTTTTTTTTTTTGAGACAGAGGGGCATTGTCTCCCAGGTTGGAGTGCAGTGGCGTGACCTAGGGCTCACTGCAACCTCCGCCTCCTGGGTTCAAGCGATTCTCCTGCCTCAATCACCCGAGCAGCTGGGATTACAGGCGCCCAACACCACGTCCAGCTAATTTTTTGTATTTTTAGTAGAGACGGGGTTTCACCATGTTGGCCAGGCTGGTCTTGAACTTCTGACCTCGTGATTCGCCTGCCTTAGCCTCCCAAAGTGCTGGGATTACAGGCTTGAGCCACCCTGCCTGGCCCCTTCAGAGGATTTTTAATAAACTGGCCCACACTTACTCTTTAGTTAAAAGCAAGAAATTGGCTGGGCGTGGTGGCTTATATCTGTAATCTCAGCACTTCAGGAGGCCAAGGAGGGCGGATAACCTGAGGTCGGGAGTTCAATAACAGCCTGACTAACATGGAAAAACCCCATCTCTACTAAAAATACAAAATTATCTGGGTGTGCTGGCAAATGCTTTTAATCCCAGCTACTCGGGAGGCTGAGGCAGGAGAATCGCTTGAACATGGGAGGCAGAGGTTGCAGTAAGCCAAGATCGCGCATTGCACTCTAGCCTGGGCAACAAGAGTGAAACTCCACCTCAAAAAAAAAAAGCAAGAAATCTACCTTCCAAGGACATTAAAAAAAAAAGCAGCTAATTATTTAAAATAACCTTTAAATCCTTTTAGAGACTTAAAATCCTTTTAAAGATTTAAAACCTAAACTTTACAAAGGTTTGATTCCCTCTGGGCAGCCTCCTTTGCATTCTTCCTAGCTACAGTACCTCTATTCTCTCATAGAATACTTTCAGTTTTTATTGGTTTCCACAATTTGATAGGAAGCAATGACCAGCAACTCTATGCACTCTCCTCTGCTAAACACATGCAGGAAAAATGATGGTTTATGTAAATTCATCTTACTTAGCTCCACATCCCATGCTGGAAGTTACTTTCGGATATTCCACACCTAAAGTTCAGGTAAACTTCCTTTGAGATTAAGCTCCTGGGCCGGACTCTGTGGTTTATGCATGTAATCCCGACACTTTGGAAGGCTGAGGTGGGATGATTCCCTGAGCCTAGGAGTTTGAGGTTAAAGTTAGCTATGAAGACGCTACTGTACTCCAGCTTGGGTGACAGAGCAATACTTTATCTCTAATGATAAAAATTTTAAAATCTGAAAAATTAAGACTTCACCTGAGCTGATAAATGCAGAGTTGAAAACAACAACAAACCTTATAACTGAGCTGGAGCCACTACATGCACACATGAAAAGGAATAACAGTCATAAAATAACATACAAAATCTGGAAGCTAATTTAGTGTAAAGGAAGAGTCTGTTGTTTCTTATTATAATACATTTCCCACTAAAGGTGTCCAATAAATTCTATCACCTTACGAGATGAGTTTTAAACTACGTGTGTAATGAGAAAATAGGTAATTTTTTTAAATCTCTTTTTTCTTTTGGGCTGCGGGGTGGCGAGAGAACAAAGAAATACTAAAAGTGAAATGCTACGCTGAATTGATCAGGCTAACTGGGAACTCACTGGAAAAGTGAAAACGAAAATGAATTAGTGATGAGCTCAAGAAGGTGCTTAGCCACTTACCCAGAGATTTATTTAATGAGAATGGATCGCAGGTTTCCACAGGTCGTTCCACTGACAGTAAGAAGACAGTCGTGAACCTTGGGTCCCTTTTTTCACTAGTCAACAGTCACCCTCACCTACACGCGGAGTACATATTTGGCACTCAACAAATCTTGATTGAATGAAACCCTACCTCACTCATACTGGCACCCAACCCCGGAGTTATGGCCCCCCAAATTACCTCCAAAACGCCTGACGACCTAACCCAGAGTAGAAAAAGTAGAGAGGAAACCTCTAGGGGTGGAGGGGATTCTCTGTCAAACAAGCAGGGGCCAACGGGGCCTAGACCAACCCAACTTCCCATAGAACACTCAAGAGCCCAGGGGATTGAACCGTGGCTAATCTCCTTCGACTTCCACGAAGCAGCAGCCAAGGGGACGCAGATCCACAGCCTCCCACTCGGGGGCGCTGAGAGATCTCGGGGTATCCCCCCCAGAAGTTAGTACCTGCGAAGCTGCGGCACAAAGTGTGGCTCCGGGCTCTCATTACGGAGGCCGGGACCTGGGACCGGCCAGCCGCGTCTCCTGGCTGAGGGTTCCGCGCTCCGGAGCTGCAGTGACCGTACACGTCGCCGATAGACACCTAAGGCTTCGGAAGGGTCCTGGCTCGCAGGCCCCAGACGTTTTGCTCTTAGGACTCCGCGAGTTGTCGCACCCACGTCGACTGGCGCTCTTCAGTGCTTCCCTCACTGGTTAAGCGGTCACTCCTGCCTTAAGCCCAGCAGCCGGTCGCTCTCCGGCGCCGCCATCGTTAGTGTTTGTTTTCATCCGCTTCGGTAATGGCCGGGGGCGGGGGGTGGAAGAGGGCTATGGGGGAAAGCCAGATGCTTAACCTTAATCGCACTTTCGCTACAGTAATGATGCCCTATTTATTCTTTTAGTCCTCAAAATCTCCATGAAAGTTGATTTTCTTTCCACGTAAGCTTTGTTCTCTAATTTTTCTAAGCGACTTAAGATAAAATAAAGACGGAAAGGAGGTGTTTGAGAGAGAGAGAGACCGTTTGGGTGATGTGTGGAATATGCGGAGACGAACCGCAGGTCGCGGTGGCAGCGGCAGTGAGGACGCGGCGCGGGGCGGGCCCTGACGCGGAAGGGGCGGTGCCGCTGTTGCGCGCCGTGGCGGCCTGTGTGCAGTAGCCGGTTCCGGAGGAGGGTCCAACCCGGCTAGGTGGGTGGGGAGTGTGGCTGTTAACCTGGCAGCCGCGGAGAGGTGGGTGACGGGCCTGGGCTAACTGAGTAGCCGGCGCAATCAGACTTTGACATCCGTTTTTAGGGTGCCCTTTAAAAGTGGCGGAGTCGTCTCCCAAACCTGGTTCGGGCAGCCTCTTTTTCGCTCCGGACTTCCAATGTGTCTGGTCTTCCCTACTTCCTGGCCCTCAGCTTCACGATTTGGAGTTCTTGGAGTGAGGGAAAAGCCTTTTGTTACAGCACACAGTGTACGTCCATAAGGCTGGGTTGTGGACTTTGTTGTTGGTGGTTTTTTGTTTTTTGTTTTTTTGCCCCTTCTTTTCTTGTTAGACTGGTTTGAGCACCCCAGCATCTGTCCTGTACTTATCAGGTAGAACCAGAATTTTTTGGATAATGAAACCCGTGACCAATTCTTACCCAAGGTGGTTATGACATACGTCAGCTGCTTCTTGGCCTATATAGTTAGGAGCTGACCTCTTTTACCTTGTGAATAATTATGTCATCACCTCCATTATTCTTTTGGTGTTCTCAATTGAAATGCCAGGCATTAAATGAGCCACAAAGGTTAAATTCCCATTATCCTTCAATCAGAGCAAGCCTGTTGTGCAGCCATGAGTTAGTGGAGAAAAATCCAGAGTTGTAAGTACAGTACGTTTTGCCTCAACAAAATGGAAATTTGCAGAAAAGGAGCTGCTCCAGCCTTTGAGTCACTTTAAAGTCTTTGGTAGGTTTCTTTTTTTTTTTTTTTTTTTTTGAAACTGAGTCTGGCTCTGTCGCCCAGGCTGGAGTGCAGTGGCCGGATCTCAGCTCACTGCAAGCTCCGCCTCCCGGGTTTACGCCATTCTCCTGCCTCAGCCTCCAGAGTAGCTGGGACTACAGGCGCCCGCCACCTCGCCCGGCTAGTTTTTTGTATTTTTTAGTAGAGACGGGGTTTCACCGTGTTAGCCAGGATGGTCTCGATCTCCTGACCTTGTGATCCGCCCGTCTCGGCCTCCCAAAGTGCTGGGATTACAGGCTTGAGCCACCGCGCCCGGCAGTCTTTGGTAGGTTTCTAATGTTTTTTCTTTTAACATTTACAGAGAGAAGATTATAAATGGCAGAGCCATTTAACTGTGGTTAGCTGTTGGATTCTGATACTTTCTTAAAAATACCTTCCTGCACCAACATCTTCATTGGAAACAGTTCAGAAAAAGCAGAGGAGAGAGACAACTTTCACATTTACCATGGCTATACCAATAACAGTGCTTGACTGTGACCTCTTGCTGTATGGCCGTGGTCACCGGACATTGGACCGTTTTAAGCTGGATGATGTGTCTGATGAATACTTGATGTCCATGTATGGGTTTCCGCGACAGTTCATTTATTACTTGGTGGAGCTCTTGGGGGCGAATCTTTCCAGGCCTACTCAGCGATCCAGGGCTATTAGCCCAGAGACACAGATCCTTGCAGCATTGGGTTTTTATACCTCAGGTTCCTTCCAGACTCGGATGGGAGATGCCATTGGAATCAGTCAGGCGTCTATGAGTCGTTGTGTTGCCAATGTCACCGAAGCACTTGTGGAAAGGGCCTCACAGTTCATTCGCTTTCCAGCTGATGAAGCCTCCATACAGGCTCTGAAGGATGAATTCTATGGGTTGGCAGGGATGCCAGGGGTGATGGGGGTAGTTGACTGTATCCATGTGGCCATCAAGGCACCAAATGCTGAAGACCTCTCCTATGTGAACCGAAAAGGCCTGCATTCTTTAAACTGCCTGATGGTGTGTGACATTAGAGGGGCACTAATGACCGTGGAGACAAACTGGCCAGGCAGCCTACAGGACTGTGCCGTGCTGCAGCAGTCTTCCCTCAGTAGTCAGTTTGAAGCCGGTATGCACAAAGATAGCTGGCTTCTGGGTAAGTTTGCAAGTGTGAATTTTCATTTTGTTTGGAGGCATAGAGAAGTTATGTAGGCCGGGGGCACACAGCCCCAGCACTTTGGGAGGCCGAGGTGGTGGATCACCTGAGGTCAAGAGTTGGAAAGCAGCCTGGCCAACATGGTGAAACTTCATCTCTACTAAAACTACAAAAATTGTCTGAGCATGGTGGCAGGCGCCTTTAGTCCTAGCTACTTGGGAGGCTGAGGCGGGACAATCGTCTGAACCCAGGATGCAGAGGTTGCAGTGAGCCGAGATAGCGCCATTGCACCCCCGCCTGGGCAACAGAGCAAAAACTGCATCTCAAAAAAAGAAAAGAAAAGTGGCTACGCGGGTAGCTCATGCCTGTAATCCCAGCACTTTGGGAGGCTGAGGTAGGCAGATCACCTGAGGTTGGGAGTTCAAGACCAGCCTGACCAACATGGAGAAACCCCGTCTATACTAAAAATACAAAATTAGCTGGGCGTGGTGGCACATGCCTGCAATCCCAGCTACTCTGGAGGCTGAGGCAGGAGAATCGCTTGAACCCAGGAGGCAGAGGTTGCAGTGAGCCGAGATCGCGGCAGTGCACTCCAGCTTGGGCAACAAGAGCGAAACCCTGTCTCAAAAAAAAAAGAAAAAAAAATTATGCAGTGGAGTAGAATGAGATATGGGAGTCTGCAGAGGTGAATCTCAGTCCTGTCATTTTTTTATGAGACCTCAGGTGAGAATTTTCTTAGCCTTAATTTTTTAAAAATCAACATTTAATAGACATTATTAAAACTTTAAAGCATACTATTAGAGCCAGTACAGTGGCACGTACTAGTACAACTGGTAATTGTAATTCCAACTACCGGGGAGGCTAAGGCAAGAGGATCACTTGAGCCTGGACCTTGAGACCAGCCTGAGCAAGATAGCAAGATGCTGTCTCCAAAACAATTAAACATGTTTTTCTTATTTTATTTTGTGTAGAGGCAGAGTCTCACTATGTTGACCAGACTAGTCTTGAGCTCCTGGCCTCAAGCTATCCTCCCATTTCGGCCTCTCAAAGCTCTGGGAATGTGACTGTGAGCCACCACACCCAATGTAAAAAATATTATTATTATTATTATTTTTTGAGACAGAGTTTTGCTCTTGTTGCCCAGGCTGGAGTGCAATGACGCGATCTCGGCTCACCGCAATCTCCGCCTCCTAGGTTCAAGCAATTCTCCTGCCTCAGCCTCCTGAGTGGCTGGGATTACAGGCATGCACCACCATACCCAGCTAATTTTGTATTTTTAGTAGAGATGGGGTTTCACCATGTTGGTCAAGCTGGTCTCTAACTCCCAACCTCAGGTAATCTGCCCATCTCAGCCTCCCAAAGTGCTGGGATTACAGGCGTAAGCCACTGTGCCCAGCCAAAAATATATATATATAAACAAATGTATTTTATGTTATTTCACCCAGCTTTTCTACTCCTAGGAATTTATCTTACAGGTATAGATTTATACATGTGCAAAACAAAATTGCATACAAGAATTTTTATTGCAAACAATAGCTGCAGCAACAAAAACAACCTTATAAAAACAATCCTGTCTGGGTGCGGTGGCTCCTGCCCATAATCTCAGCACTTTGGGAAGTCAAGGTGAGAGGGTCACTTGAATCCAGGAGCTTGAGATCAGCCTAGGCAACAAAGTGAGACAGTGTCTTTCAGAAAAGTAATAATAATATAAACAAGTAAACAAATAAATAAAACAATCCCCTGAAATAAAGCCAAAATACTGCTGGACACGGTGGCTCATGCCTATAATCCCCGCACTGTGGGAGGCCATGGGGGGCGTATCACCTGAGGTCGGGCGTTCAAGACCAGCTTGGCCAACATAGTGAAACCGCTCCTCTACTAAAAATACAAAAATTACCAGGGCATGGTGGCACGCGTCTGTAATCCCAGCTGCTCAGGAGGCTGAGGTAGGAGAATCGCTTGAACCTGGGAGGTAGAGGTTGCAGTGAGCCAAGATCATGCCACTGCACTCCAGCCTAGGCAACAGAGCGAGACTTCGTCTCAAAAAAAAAAAAAAAAAACCAACATACTTATCAGGATTGTCCAGAATTGTTTAAGTATTGTGTATCCATACAATTGAGCCTTATCTGGCTCTGTTAATTGTCTGTAAAATGATTAATCTGACACCAACCACAGTAATATCTATTGTGAGGATTAGGTAATATATATGAAAGTTCCCTATAAAGTATTGTACAGATATACAAATGTGGCCGGGCATGGTGGCTCATGCCTGTAATCCCAGCACTTTGGGAGACCACGGCGGTGGATCACCTGAGGTCAAGAGTTGGAGTTCAAAACCAGCCTGGCCAACGTGTTCAAACCCCTTCTCTGCTAAAAACACAAAATTTAGCCGGGCATGGTGGCGCATGCTTGTAGTCCCAGCTACTTGGGAGGCTGAGGCAGAATTGCTTGGGCCCAGGAGGCGGAGGTTGCAGTGAGCTGAGATCATGCCACTGCACTCCAGCCTGGGCGGTGGAGCAAGACTCCATCTCAAAAAAAAAAAAGGCCAGGTGCAGTGGCTCATGCCTGTAATCCCAGCACTTTCGGAGGCCAAGGCAGGTGGATCACCTGATGTCAGGAGTTCAAGACCAGCCTGGCCAAAATGGTGTGAAACCCCTTCTCTACTAAAAATACAAAAAATTATCTGGGCGTGGTGGTGGGCGTCTATAATCTCAGCTACTTGGGAGGTTGAGGCAAGCGAATTGCTGGAACCCAGGAGGCAGAGGTTACAGTGAGTCGAGATCATACCATTGCACTCCAACCTGGGCAACAGGAATGAAACTCCATCTAAAAAAAAAAAAAAGTAAGAAATTATTTTTGCGTTATTGATTGTCACTGTGATATCTGCATAAAAATGATAGTAGACAATGCATGTACACAATTCTTATGGTAGCAACTTACTTCACAGACCTGCCCGAGTTCCACTGGAAAGACTGGCTTACTGTTATGAGTAGGACAAGAATCTATTCAACAGTAAGCAGTGTGAACCAAGGTGACTGTACAGCTTTGAAGACTGAAGTTAGTTAGCAGTGATAAAACCCTTGAACCCAGCAGCTTAGTTTTTTGTTTTTTGGGTTTTTTTTTAATGTGCTACTTTTATATGAGCATCAGGACAAGGATTATCTTGTATACAACATATGAGAGATGAAAGCTATGTGAAGGATTGGAAGACTTTCTCTAACTTTTGTTTTTTTGAGATTGGGTCTTGTTATGTTGCCCAGGCTAGTCTCGAACTCCTGGCCTCAAGCCATCCTCTGGCCTCAGCCCAGGCTCGTAATACCAGTAGCTGGTATCACAGACATACACCACCACACCCAACTAATCATAACCACTAATCATATCTACACTGCACAGGCTCATAGCACAGTGCTTACTATGAGTTGATGCTTAGGAAATATTTCTCTTTAACATATTTACTAGCACTTTATAGAGAAACCTCCCATGTTCCGAGTGGGTGAAGACGACACTGATGGGTGTAGAGCTGCCAGGGAACCACGTGTAATATCTTGGAGCTTAGTGAATTTCTTGATTGTTGCTTGTCCATACCATTTTTAGTGTGCCACCTTCTTACTACGCTACTGGACCTTTAGCTTAAGCACACCTTTTGCCTATTTTGAGCTTTCAAATTTTATTTTCATACAACTCACATCAAGAAGTGTGGGAAAGTCTATTTTGCAATTGTCTCATCTGGTCGTTTCTTCTATAGCTGTGGGACTACTTGGTTTCCAAGCTGATTTCTTACGAATCTCTTCACTTTGGTTCCCCCCCAAATTTTTTTTTTTTTTTTTTTTTTTTTTGGTGACAGGGTCTCACTCTGTTACCCAGGCTGGAGTGCAGTGGTGTGATTATGACTCAGTGCAGCCTTGACCTCCTGGGCTCAATTTATCCTACCTCAGCCTACTCAGTAGCTGGGACTACAGATGCACACCACCATGCTGGGCTAATTTTTGTATTTTTGGTAAAGTTGGTGTTTTGTCATGCTGCCCAGGCTGGTCTCGACCCCTAGGCTCAAGCAGTTAGCCCACCTTGTACTCCCAAATTGCTGGAATTACAGGCACGAGCTACCGCACCCTGCCCAGTTCCCTAACTATTAAGCTAGCTAAAACTTAGCCCTTAGAATTTGCCAGGCAATATTGTAAGCATTTTGCATCAATTATATCACTTAATGCTTATAAAAACTCTTTAAGAGTTAAATAATAATATTAACATTTTTACAAAAGAAGAGACTGAGGGACGTAACATTTAAATCCCTTGTGTTTCAGTGTTTAAATGAGATCATAGTACGAATTACTCTATTTGGCAAATATTCCTTGTAAGGACTTCAAGATCATGTAGGAAGTAGTGATTTTCTTTTTCTTTCCACCTTGGGATCCAAGATTCAGTTGGAATTATGGCTTTAAAGTAGTTTTTTACATTGTTTATAGTACATAATTGAAAATTAGTAAAAATTCTGATAAATAACTTTGCTGATTCCCCTCTCTACAGAAAGAGTAGGAGTGGGAAAAATGGATATTGTAGCAACATTTAACAAATGTTTATTTTTTATATTTTTTTGAGATGGAGTCTTGCTCTGTCACTGAGGCTGGAGTGCAGTGGCGTGAGCTCGGCTCACTACAAGCTCCGCCTCCCGGGTTGACACCATTCTCCTGCCTCAGCCTCCCGAGTAACTGGGACTACAGGTGCTGCACGCCACCCCACGCCAGCTAATTTTGTATTTTAAGTAGAAATGGAGTTTCACCGTGTTAGCCAGGATGGTCTGGATCTCCTGACCTCGTGATCCACCTGCCTCGGCCCACCAAAGTGCTGGGATTACAGGGTTGAGCCACCAACCCCAGCCTGTTATTATATTATATATATATACACACATTTTGAGACAGGTCTCACTTGCCACCCATTGCTGAGTGCACTGGTATGATCACAAACTCAACTGAATAGCCTAGACATCCTGGGGCTCAGTTGGA